TCTAAGGACTCCTGGCAGAAGTGAGTTTTTGACCCACCACTAACTGCTTTCCAAGGTGCTGCCCATCAAAACTGCTTCCTTTGCAATGTCAAGGGAAATATTTCTGCTTGCACAACTTTCCATCAGTTCACATTTCATACCAATTCAGTGGTTCCATGCTGTTCAATGATGGCTTCTGGGTAGTACAAGGGATTGCACCAGGAAATAGGGACAGAAAGAATATTTTTTAAAAAACATATATTCTAAAAATGATTTTTAAAATAGTTGTATTTTAAATCTATTGTTGCCATTATTGTTTCTCTGTATGTAAGACTTTGATAAACAATAAAAACTTTTTGTTGAGGAATATAATTCTTCACTAAGTTTCTTCTCGAAGATATCAAGAAGTACTTCCAGCAATTCTTTCTCTGTTATGAGATAGTCATGTAGTTTTTGAAGGATATTCACTATTTGTCTACATAAACTTCAGACATGGTTGTCTTACACAGAAAACAGCATTTTCTGTGCAGGAATGATTATTTCTGCATTTAAATGTTACCCCAAAATGCTGTTTTTTAAACAAAACAACTGCGCAAAATACATATCTATTTGGGAATATTATTTTGTAATTTTTGAAGTGTTTTCACTGTGATGCGAAAATTGCTGAAAGTACTCATTGCTATTTTCAAGAAGAAACTTAGTAAATAATACATCCCTATACAGAAAGGTCTGGGTTTTGATCCAAGCCATTACATACAGCAATAACAATAATGGCTTCAATAGTTACTCAAGAGCAATCAAAAACAGTCTCTGTTTAAGATGTGTTGCTTTCTCCTACTCTGTGCCACCTCCCTACCCCCAGTAATCCCTAGCATTTGAGAAAAGCAAGTGTTTTAGAAATTAAAAATCAAACCTAAATTTATTCCCAGTGGGATGTAAATTAGTGCACAAAACTGCAACAAATCTAGCAGAGTACACTCTATGTGTTCAGTGACATGCGGGGACTACTGATGGTGAACTGCTTTTTTTTTTTTGGCTTTTTAAATGAGTTACACACTGTGCTGGGTCCATTTTAAAATTGGTTTTTTCATAATTGTACTAAGTGTATGCCAAGATATAAAGCTGCTTACTAGGGAAGTGAATCATTTTGTTCAATTAATTAAGTGTGTCTTTTAGTTTGTATGGACTTTTTGGAGTAAAAGGGTTGAACTGTTTCATTATAAATCTCATTTGCTTTTATAACGATCAGAAGGAGAGGCTCCTGCTTCACAATTGAAGCAAACAGTGGGTCTGGACATTATTTTGGGGAAATATCACCCTCAGTTTCCTGTGAACACATTATGCATATATAGACCATAGGGCTGTCCAAACACGGAAAAATTTGTTTCTAAACTCGATTCGTTTTTAGGGGTTTTTTGCGTTTCGTTATTTAAAAGAATTCTGAAATTTTCCTTAAAAATAGTTACGAAATTTCGGAAATCATAAAACAATTACGAAACAATTATGAATCGTTTTTTAGTTGCTCCTGAATGGTTCAGTATCGCTTCGTTATAAAAAAAACGAATTTTTAACAAATTACGAAATTACGAAACGAAACCACCCAGCCCTAATAGACCATGACACTATCCAATAGTAGGTATATTTTGAAATAAAATACTATGGAAGTGTTTATGGAGTAGAAAAAAATTTGGAGTAGAAAAATTGTGTTTTCTACTCCAAAATCTCTTGAGTAATCGATTATACAGAACCTAATTTCTGGAGGAAAGGAGACACTTTGAAAAGAAGGCTCCAAATTAACATTTCCATAAAGTCACACTTAGCTGTAGGAGTAACTGTGTACATTTCTCATTCATTTTCATTACAAAAGTTTTATTTTGCTGGTTTATATAAACATCTAGAAATTTAAGGCAGATTGGATTCCAAATCAT